TTTCCATGGCAATGCTCCCCAAGCAAGGGCACCATGTCATTTCAGATTTGTTATTGAGGATGCAAAAAATGCACGTAAGGCCAGGAATCGTGGAGTTTGTAGGGTTTGGTATGGCAAGAATTAGATGGCTGATCCAAGTACAGCTGCCTATATTATTCTGGTATAATCCTCATATACTTCAAGTCTGGTTCATTCGCCTATACTCCAAATCCGAAAAATCCACACCCTGGCAGGTTAGTTTGGGCAGGGTAGTCGGGTGTAGCATTGCTAGCTGAGGCATGGGCGGCTAATTTGTCATCTCGACATCAAGCCAGATAACGTGCTGTTGTCCGGCACAGGACCCTGTACTAGCGGAGTTTCCATATCATGGAAATAGAGTGAATGGCACTGGTACAGTTTCTTTAGCATGGTAACTTCGGCTGAGTTTCTCAACAGCCAGCAGGAGCGTAGGCATCTTGTTCTAAATGCGCTACTCGGAGGGTCAGGGAGACTTAGTAAGTAGGTTAATAATCCCTATAATCCATATAGTAAACCAAGCTATCCCCCTCACTGACCTACTTACGAAGTCCCCCTGACCTTCCAAGCAGCGCCATAGTGTTTTCTTGGCTGCGGCACCACGCTTTTGGCTGGAATTCCCAAGGGCCCGGGGTATGGGATGCAGAGTTTAGGGTTTAAGGGGTTAGCGATTTAGTTTGTAGAGTTTAGGGTTCAGGGGCCAGGCTTTCTGTCTTGACAGGCAAAAGGATGGTTCCAAGGGATTTGCCGCAATACAGGGACCGAGCTAAAATACAAATAAGTTATCATGCCATGATTTCTTTGAGGTACCCTAGACCATAACTATACAAGGAATCGAGAACAAGGCCCTATGCTAACTCCATATAAGCCTGGTTTCATGTCGTATTCCATTCTCTTTCCTTTTGATTCTCGATTGTTGGGTTTGTCGAAACGCTTTATATATAGTCTTTACATACTGCCCACTTAATCCCTGTATAAACCCCTATATACTCCTGACCATTCAGGCCCCTATCATACACTGGAGGTTAAGGCCATCAGCGCCAGTTCTTGTCATTTCGGAATAGGGGTGCCTGGGACTACTTTTTAGACTGAGCAGTTTAGGGTTTGGGGCTTAGCGTTAAGGGTACAGGGTTGCTTTGGGCAAACGCCGCCAAACTTCGACAGTCTTGCTAGAAGGCCAATCCACTAACGTTAACGCAGGTGTCCTTGTTGGGATAGATTTAACAAATCTAGATGGAAACTGGTTTTCTAGGTGCTTTTATAGGTTCCGCGTAGCCATAAGGGCAGACCCTAAATGTCAACACATCCCACAAGATCTGCAGAAATTGCGGTGGTGGGCGTCTCTTCTAGGCGGGTACCTGTATCAAGGATGATCTACAATATTTGGGGGTTACATTGGGCCCCTTCGAGTATGGCCTCAGCTTTGAAAACCTTAAGCCTCATCTTTCCCTCTAGATTATACACCTTATATAATCCCTTATCTCCTTCAAAGGGGCCCTTCTTTTACCCTAATGGAAACTCTAAACCTTATACCTTAATCTGCAGGAGAAGTGCGTCTCTGTGACTTCGTGACAGCTTGTCAGCTGCAACAAGTCCCTCTGCCTGAGTGGATAACCTTTGAGGGTCTAGGGTTTAGGGTTTTTGGGGTGTAGGGTTTAGGGTGTTTAGGGTTTAGGGTGTTTGGGGTTTAAGGTTTAGGGTGTTTTGAGTATAAAAGTCCTACTATAGCTAAAAGGTCATGCTTCGGGCGGGCCCACAGACTCACCGGCCAGGGTGGTTATTATTTGGGGAGGGGTTATCTCCTACACCACTGAACGCACAACCCTACGCTCCTAAATCCCACTCCGCAACTACTACACCCCTAGACCCTGAGCCTTGAATCTTACGCCCCTAAACTAAACCCTGCACCCCTAAACCCGCAAGCTTAAACTCTACACCCCTACACCCGTAAATAACCCTAAATTCCTCTTTGTACATACATATCGGTGTTAAAAACAAAGCCAGGCCGACCAGCAGCTGGTCGGCAAGTGCGGCACCGTGGACTTTCGCGCGCCCGAAGTGGACAGCGGAGGCGGGCTTGAACTTTGGCTCTTCAAAGGTATATATATAGATATATATATGTATGCATGCATATATATATATATATAGATATGAGTAGAGAGACACAATATCATAATCCCTTCATATGGGATATGTAAGGTTTTGTGGTGAAGCAAAGGGGCTTCCAGAAATTACGGACCCCTCAGAGGGGTCGCCATAATCACGATGGATATGGCATTTTGAGGAATGTAAGATTCAAGAGGTCCGCCCACAGTTGAAGCGTGTTCCACACTGTTCAAGGCTTATTGGTTGAAGGTTTAGGTTGCGGTTTCTCAGGGTTTGTTTCAGCAGTTACGGAGTAGCACGGGGAGGGGGGTTGCTTTGTGATGTTGTAGGGCACGCAATAGCCCCGGGTAGCTCATGTTGCCGACACCTGCTTTAATCAGTCGACTCCTGCACGATGTTTTGACTTACTAAGGGTTCCTACACTCCCAAATAACCCCTATCACGGCCCCCATACACTCCTGATACTGAGTATACTTACAAACCCACCGTAGTATGACGTAGACTTACTTAGTCTAGAAAGCCGCCAAGTTCTTGTGCTCACATACGCCAGTAGTCTTCACATACCCATTATGATTTTCTGGGGTCTCTAGAGACCCTTAGTCTAGATAATGCCCCAAGACCCTAAACCTGAACCGGATGTAGGCCCTAAACCCTGAAACTCAAGCAACCCTAAACTTTAAGCCCTAAACCCTAGATCTTCACAGATCAACCCTTAACCCTATAAACCCTAGAACCCTAAACCCTAAACCATCAATCCTAAACCATAAATCCCAAACCCTAGAACCCTAGAACCCCAAAACCAGCCCTATAAGCCCTAAGACCTAAACGCCATCAAGGTCCTTACAACGGCCTGAAGGCCGATGTCTATTCTCTGGGTCGAACTTTGCAAGATGCCGTCAAGGAGCTCGGGGTTCGGCTTTGCGGGCTTCGCAGTTTAGGGTTTAGGGTTTAGGAGTTGGAGGTTTCAGATTACCTGAACCCCCAAAAGTATGTAAAATAATAGCCCCAAACCCATGGTAACAGCCATGAAGGCCATCACTTTACATAATTTTGGCTTCCAGGTAGAGGCTTAGATGAGGTTTGGTTTAGGGTTCAGGGTTCAGGGTTTAAGGCTTTGGATTTACGGTCTGAGGCTTAGATGAGCTTTGGTTTAAGGTTCAGGGTTCAGGGTTTAGGGCTTCGGATTTAGTAATTTAGGGTTTGAGGCTCAGGATTGAGGGCTTAGGACCTTAGGGGGTTCAGGATTGGAGCTTCAGCGTGTAGGGTTGGCAGTATAGGGTTGAGGGTAGTGGTTCGTATATTGGGGAGCTAAAGTGTTTTGGCGTAACTGCAGTACACCATATTTTGGGTACTGCATGCCCCCTAACTTTGTAGCAGCTGGATAATATCTATAGTATAGTTATATAAAGCCTTCATATGACCCCCAATATAGACCCTGGCAGGGTGGGGGGGGGCAGTATTCAAACTATGTTTGGTAGTTTCCCCATCTTAGACCCCCAAATATGATGCTTATTACTGGGCCCCAAAAAACTACCCCTAATTCTGGCAAATCCTGAACCTTATAAATCCCTATATATCCTTATATACCCCTATATAACCCGTATGATCACCCTCATAGGTACCCCTAATTTGGGGAACCCCCCCCTCATCTGCCTCAAATCCTTATCCCAAGCCTTCAAACAGTATACCCTAAACCTTAAACCCTAAACCCTGAACCCTGAACCCTAAACCTTAAACGTTTAGGGTTTAGGGTCAAGGACTGCGTTTTAAGAGTGTAAGGAAAGGGGTGTCGCTACTTGTTTATGCCCCATACACTACTTACACTTGTGAGCTGGAGTCTAAACGCCTAGTATCCCCCTTAATAAGCCCTTTCACACTCCCCTATATAATCCCCTATATAACCCCACTTTAAAGTGTTTAGACTACAGCTCGTTTGGTTGTGGGACCTATGCTGCAATCAGAAGGAACTTCGCGAAGTGAAACGTGCTTTGCCGGCCACCCGTCAGCAAGGGAGTCAGCTGGGAGCTTGTCAAGCATCAGGCAGTTGTAGCAGGGCATCACAGGACCTGGTTTTTAGCTATGCACTGTGGAGTTAGCTATGTGGGTAATACTTCTCAAAGTTCTCGTTCCTTTTGCAGGCCGGTCCTTTAGTCGGGGTCGCGGTTGAAAGCAGTTTGTATGCCCCAGTATACTATCTCTAGACTGTAAGCCAGGAAGGCACATAATCATTCTGAGTTGATTTTGTCCTTCAGGCTACCCTAACCCAAAGGGTCCAAGTATCTAATAATCATATACTTCCCCAAAACCTGTACAGTACTACAATTCCTAGTACCCTACACCCAAGTACCTAATTATTGAGTACTTGGACCCTCTGGGTAAGCTTGTCTTTTTCGGGTTTAAGGCGAATCAGGCTGCAGATGGCTTGGCCCCTTGGGCCCGTCATCATTTCAAGCTGCAAGCTTCTAGCGGTAAGCGCCCCCCCAAGACACATGTGAGCTACAGTCTAAACTCCTAAAAAGGGATTATATAGGGGACTGCTACAGGGGTTATTAAGAGGGATACTCGGAGTTTCGACGACGGCTCATGTGTGATGTTTTATTTGGGGATCCTAGAGTTCCCAACATGGAATAGGATTATATCCTCCTTTTGCGATATAATTAGTATCCTATATGAAAAGCTGATGATACTCCCTATTGCCCTGCCAAGTACCCAAACAATTGGGTTGAAGGTCCCAAATGCCAGTTCGATTATGGTACTTTGGACCTAAACGAATATTTGGCTAGACAAGAATATGGTTGGAGACGCGAGGAACTGGAACCCTAAAGCCTAAACCCTAATGTAGTTGGAGATCCGAGGAACTGGAAGAGGTCCTTCCTCAGATGGTGAGGCGTGAGCCACTGGAACGCCCCTTTTATCTATTCAGGAAAGCTGGAGTCTTCTCAAAGACTGTGTTGAGGGTTTAGGGATAATGGAAGAGAAAATCGAAACTAGTACATAGTATATGGGGTTATATTGGGATAATGGAAAAAAGGAAACTACTGTGTAGTGTACTGAACATTGGGGTTTCATTGGGAAAATGGCAATTACTATATAGTATATTTGGGTTACAGGGATAACGGAAAAGAAAATGTACTGGGGTTATATACGGATAATGGAAAAGAAAATGGAAACTACTACTCAGAGTTTTGGGCTTTTCCTCTTTCTAAGCGCGAGGTACGCGAGCACAATATTCTGGTTTGTTTGCGTTGTTGGGAGCTATTGGCCAGCATTAACATGATGATGGTGACCGTGATGGTAGCTCGTTCTGTTCACCAGCCTGTTTGCGACTGGCTTTCCTTCGTTTGTGCCACAAGATCTGCATGACAAATATCTTTTTTGAGCACTTGCCCATCAAAAACTCATCCCCAAAACTGAATCTGAGTGTGATTTACGTGCCGAACCCTACATCCCAAAGCTGAACCGAAATCACCCAGGCCCGGACGTCCAGAGGCTGTACGCTCACCTCACTGCCGGCCCAGAAGGCTTCATCAGACAACAATCATGTACTTGGGGCTTCTTGTACTGAGAATTGTTATCAAGGTCTTGGGGTTCTATATCCACATTAGCCTTATAAAGGGACCCTTAACGTGGACATAGGGGCCCCTCCTGTGTCTTGTATAGTCCTTAATCTAGTCCCTAAGAAGCAAGTAACTTCAGAGGAAATATTGACTGTAGGCTATTGTAGGTCATGTGATGACTCTATACTTTGGACCCGTAGGGGGAGCTTTGAGGAATGAGTGGGCAGGCTGGGCGCAGGGCCTGGGGAGGGATTAGAGCATGGTTAAGGGTTAGGGTTTAGGAGTCTCAGTCAAGTTGCGTCACCTCCAGACAACAGAACTTCTTCTGCCCAGTGCTAGCTTTTCCCATTTTCTACTTGCCGCTGCGAGACAGATTTTTCGTGGGGAGTGGGGTTTATCGCAGAGTGGAGGCGCCGGTCCATATGAACCCCAACTACACGCATCCTTGATTTGCTGTCTCCTTCCTCCCTCGAAAATCGGAGTCAATCAAAACCTCCTTGCTCTGTACTCATGTCCGCAAGGCCTGTGAGTTGGAGAAGCGCTGGTATGGAAATTCGAATGCTACACAGGTTTAGCATTAGGGTGGGCTTAGTGTTTAGTGTTTAGGGTTTAGCTGTATGTGTCCCACATAACGCGCAGGCGCACGACAGCTGGATTGGAACTCCCTGGACCGGGAGTGTGACAAAAATTGTTTTCCTGTTCGGGGAAATCCTGCCTCGCAGCATACAGTTTCTTTGGGCTATATCCGGGAGAACTGAGGATAGTTTCATTCGAAACCATAAGTTGTGTGGAGTAGGCTCGGAACTCTGGTATAGAAAAGCCAGCTGACCTGGTGTTGCCAGACACCCTAAACCCTAAACCCTTAACCATGGCTTTCAAGTGCGAGTTTCGGAGATTCGTGCTGGATCTTTTAGAGGGGCTGTTAGGGTGGTTATAGCATGTTATAGCCTACTTACAGCTGCATGTATAACCCAGTTAGGAGCCTCTTCATAAATGTCCTCAATGGGATCTAATTACAACAGCAGGCATACAGGTTCGAATTACACTGACATAGCACTGCTTCGAGAAAGCCCTGGCTACAATGCCTCTACATAGGGCAGGCTTAAATCTAAACCCTGGGCTTAGGATTTGGGTTCGTCAGGGTCATGGGATGTCGTGGGCCACTTGCAATCCGCAAAAACGTGAAACAAAAGCTTCGCCGCCAGTTTAGCCAGTGGCAGGGTTCGGGATATTGATCTTGTAGTGGTCGCAGCATGTGCCCCTCAAATGGCTAGAAACCTTACTGGTAGTATGGAAATTGCTCTTATACAATCCCTATCTAACCTATTCCTTTATTCCCCAGTAGGAAAAGGTGGTTTGGGTCGTTCATACCGCAAGCCGGGGCCATGTGGAGCTTTCGTGACAGGTCCTCGAAACCAACGCCGTCTATGAGCCGTATGGTGTGTTTAAGGGGCTTAGGGTTCCCACTTGGCAGTTCTAAAGCCCAAACATATACCCATGCTAAGTTGGGCATGAGGTTTGCTCCCCGTGGTCGTCCTTGCATAATTCCCAAGACTAGTTAAGGGCCCCTAGCACCCATTCCTCACTCACAACTACTCAAACATGAGTAGGCGAAGCCCCAAGCCAAAAATCCTTCACGCCTAGCCCTGAAGACCTAAGCATTGAACACCTAAACACCTAAGCTTCAGACACAACCCTATAAGCCCTGAACACCTAAGCCTCAAGCCCTAGACCCTAAACCTCAAAGCCCCGAATCCTAAACCTTAGCTCTTTGATCTAAACGCAAGCCCCAGAAACCGTAAACGGAGTTTCGGCCAGGAGTCCATCAGCTACGAGCAGGCGCTGGCTGAGCAGAGCCCGATGATGCCTTGCGCCGCTACGTCGGGTGTAGGGATTTTGGGTTTTTGGGTTAAGGGAACTTACGCGGAAGCCCAATTTAGAAAGAGTTGAGGGATGAGAAATCGAATGGATAATGAAATGGGAAACTGGGGTTGAGAGGGATGTACGGGGTTTAAGGTTCAAAGTAGGTGTACGTCAAGTTGAGTTATAGGTGTAAGCCAGCTATACTAATAGGAGAGGCAAGATTCTCCAACGACTGGAGGGTTACTGTATAGCCTCCCTAAACCCTAAACCCGAAACGGCGTGGCTTCAGCTCTTGAGGTTCCAAAATTCACAATGTCTAATTTCCTATACAGTACATACTTTGGGCCCAAGTGGATTCCCGTTTGACTACGTACCTGTGGGCCTAAGTATGTATTGGTTGGACCTTTAGGGGGATGTATATAAGAGGTTGTGAGAAGTGGGGTCTCTTTGTGTGCGCTCGGTACGGCCAGTAACCCTTCGGCTGCCCAAAAGTGACCATCTCGACAACCGGCCACATTTGTTAGGCTGCCGATGGGAGCCCGTACCACCTACAGCACGGCCCTCTATTTGTGTGTGCAAAAAATGGACCCGAACTTTTTGGAAGCTGCCCACATATATTCCATGCTCGAGCTTCCTTGCATACCCCTTTAACGAGACCTGGGGACACCCAACCCTCATTTCGAGAAATCCCAACCCTTACAGGTCCAAGTACTCAAACAGTACATACATTTGGGATCAAGGTATCTAACCGGAACCCAGTAATCGGGCGCAAGTTGCGTCCTGCTTAGGTATTTGGACTCTTATAATGAGAGCCCAGCAGCCTTCGCTTTGAGCCCAGGTCATGGCTGGCAGAGCGGTGCCTCCTAAGGACATTGGGCTGTCCATGGTTTAAACCCTACGGTGTGGTCACGGCATGGGATGCTCGCTGGTGTGGGACAGACCAGGGCCGCTCGCACCCTTGCCTGGCAGTAAGCCGACCGCCCTGATTTCAATCCGATGGGGGCCGCCGTTGGGACCAGTCTTGGTCTAACGGTCAGACTTGGTCTGAGAGTGGGACATGCCAGAATTGGCCCGAGAGACATCGGGAGAGGCCTCGGAAGGCTGCTTTGGGAATGGTCCTAGCAGGGTTCAAAGACCCTATGCACATCTGGGGGAGGGCCCCGTCATGGTGCCCTGGATGGCGGCAGTCGCCCAGCTTCAAGACGTTCCCTGCCGCTCGCGAAGCTCCGGCAGCTTCGGGCTCTGTGTCGGTGTCAAGCCCTTAGACAAGACTTTAGGCCGATTTAGAAGTTTAGGGCTTAGGGTGGGGGTTCCTTCAAATCCTGCAAATGGGCCCAAAATTGGGTAAGGCATCACAAGTGATCAAGTTAAGTTTTTAATCCTAAACAACGAACACGGTTGAGGGTAAGTTTCACATTTAAGCGGTTAGGGTATAGAGTTCGGAGTTTAGGTGACGATGATAGCATGATTTTTGTTGCCCGCGGGGTGGTAAATACGGAATGTGTTTTAGGCCCAGTCTCCTCTAAACCCCGTTGTTTGGGTGTGGACGTTTGCTGAAGTTATGGCCGATGTTTTGGACCCTTCAAAATTTGAGGAATGTACTGCGCAGGGGACCCAACATCAATTTGCTGTTTTTCTGCTATCCACTATAAGCGCCAATATAAGGCCCATAAGCCGTGTTACCACGAAAATTATTGAGTCGAAAGATAACCAAAGTACCTGCTCGACGTCCTCCGCATCATCATCTTTGGCTGTTAGCTGCACTGTTGTCGATGCGCAGCCAGCTGTGGTCAGGGTCGTTCGCAGCATTACTGTGAAAATTGCTGCTTCTGCGCATGTCACCTTTACAACCAACCACTGTTGCGAAGGATGCGTATGTGTTCTCACTCCGTGGTGCATTACCAATCACTGCTCCCAATGCTAGTGTATTTGTTTCTGTTGTCCTCTTCCGTTGTATTATCAACATGCACATTTTTCATGTGTGAGGAGGGACAGCATGCTGCGCGAGCTGGGAAGGTGCGGACCAACCAAGCAAGCAAGGCCAGGTTGCTAAATCTGTGGGTTGCTAAAATCAGTCTAAATCTGCTGTCTCGTTTGAAAACCACGTAAACCCTACCCACAAACTTCGCCCGCCCGACCTGGACCACGCAGAACCTTCAAATTTGGGGTTAGCCAACCGAGAAAACGGAGAACATACCCTAAAGCTACAAACGCTGGGTTCCGTAAGGTCTAGACAAGCCTTGAACCCTCAGCAGCTTGGGCTTCCCAATCTCTAAACCGTAGACCCCCAAAGATTAAACCCCAAAACCCCAGACGGCAGAACCCTGAACCTTCAGTATAATCCCTGTTTTACCCCTATATAATCCCTAATATTACCCCTATAGAATCTCTAATATTACCCATACATAATCCCTAATATTACCCCTATATAAACCCTAATATTACCCTTATATAATCCATATATTACCCCTATATAATCCCTAATATTACCCCTATATAATCCCTAATATTACCCCTATAGAATCCCTAATATTACCCATATATAATCCCTAATTCGTACCCCTATATAATCCCTAATATTACCCCCATATATTTAGGACCCTGAACTCAAGCAAGCCGGAAGGCGTGTCAGTCGAGCTACTGCCAGCGACTTGGGGCCTGTATTTGCCACGACCGGGTGCCGGCATCCATGGCGGCCATGAAGCCCCAGGAGCTCCTCCTTTGGGAGTTAGAGTTTAGGGTTTAGGGTTCCATGGAAAGAGCACTCTGAGGGCTCCATGATTAATAAGCGGGCTTTTTGTAAACCTGAATCCCCAACTGTGACCACATTGACCCTTAAAGGGTCCACTTTGCTAAGTTGAGGGTTCCCGAAGCTTCTTGCTAATGTTAGCTTGGGGAAAGGTAGGTTGCCTCGAGAGTTTGTCCTGCATTCCTCTCGTCACTTGTGTGTGGCTGGAAGCCCTTGTAATTCTGGTCGGAAGTAGTCTGTGTCGTTTGACCGCAATAGGAGTCTCGCAGAGTTTTCAAAAGCTGCGGATATTTGATTTCAAGAAGAGTATCTTAGAATCTTAGATGGCTTCCTGTGGGCAGTGAACTTTCAGTGGGTACACCCACACAGGTGTTTTCAAAAAGCATAAGGGTCCCATTTTGAGGGTTGCTTCGAATCAGGGCGATCATTCTAGGCTTTAGGGGGTACCGCGACGCTGACCCCCACATGAGCTCTAGTCTAAACTCCTGGCATCCCCCTTAATAACCCTTAAATTAATCCCCTATATAGTCCCCTTCAATTCGTTTAGACTATACCTCACATGCGCAACTGCCTTTGCAGGACCGGGTTCTGGCGAAAGGCCGTCGCTGCAGTACGCCATGAGTTCGACCCGAATTTCGCGCGTCTTTTAAAAGAGCGCCGTCCGTTGCTACCAAAGGGATTTGGGGTTAGGTTTAGTGTCTCGAACCCTGGAGCCCCAGGGATTACGCCAGTTTAGATTGCTGTTGTCATGCAGATGCAGGATTTTGCAGATCGACCATTCAAGTAGACGTAGTATGTATGCCCCGTAATTAAGGCCATACTCCTATGCAATCAAGTCACCCACGTGTAATCAACCATCCCCGGGTTCTCTCCTCCACCTAATATCAAAAGCCCCCACGGCCCTGATATCAAACATTCCCCACTTATCATGGTATACACAATGGGAAGAGTAATGTCTGGGGACGGTCAGGGGGACTTAGTAAGCGGGTTAATTAATAACCCTTATAACCCATACAGTTACCCGAGTCCTACTTGCCTCCTTATTTACGTACATACTAAGTCCCCCTGACCCTCCAAGTAGGGTAGGGGATTCGCCTTTACATAACTCTTGGTTCGCAGTGGTAAGCTTCACAGGCCAGGCTTCCTAAACCTGGCGCGGTCGGGGGTTTAGGGCCTTTAGGGCCCCGAGGGTTTAGGGTTTGTAGAGTTTATTCAGGGGTTAGGGTTTTGGGCTTGTTTCAATGGAGGGTCAAATCGAAACGAAACTGGACATGGAATGGAAACTGGGAGCATGTATGATTTATCTGGATTGGATGGGATTGGCACATTAATGGGGTTTGCAGAAGTCGGGCGGTACCTTCTTGGGAGTCCTGATATTTCATAATCTAAAATATAGGTAATCGCATTTTGAGGTACATAGTAAGGATCATAGAATTTTAGGATACAAGACATATGTAGGTAGCGGGCGCCCCGCTTTTTCGAAGTACCCAAATCGTAGATGCCTCAATCCTTCGCACGCCTGAACTTACTTCTGCTAGTTGAAAAG